CTCTCTCTCTCTCTCTCTCTCTCTCTCTCTCTCTCTCTCTCTCGGTCAGTGTGTGTGACACACACATGCACACGCGCGCAGGCAGGGCCGCTTGAACAGTTTCCTATTTTTTCAAATGAAGAAGTAACTTAGAATTTAATTAAATATTCTACTGTAAACGTTAATACATTCTTACATTCTTTTTTTATATTAGTTAATACTATGGTATATTTATTATTTATCTTTTCATTCTAATATATTACATCAAATTAAATGAATAATTCTTCATGCCAACTTCTGAGACGTGAAAAGCGAAAAAATACAAGATCAAGAAATTATTTCAAAAAGAATCTCATACTTCAAGAGATATTCCTTATTTTGCCCATGTTCCTCCTCCCACTACTCCCGCTCCTCTTCCCGCACCATAGCCCCACTCGCGCTCCTTCCCCGCTCCTTCTTCCATGCCTTCTCTCGCTCCCTCCCCCGCTCCTCCCACTCCTCCTCCTCCTCCTCCTCCTCCTCCCCCTCCCGCTCCTCCTCCGCCAAACAACGTGACAAAGATCCCTTCATAGCCCTGCTCTCGCTCGTTCTCCTGCTGCTCCTCCCTCTCCTCCTTCTCTCTGTCGCTCCTTCTCTTGGTCGTCCTCGTGCTCCTCCCGCCTCTCCTCCTCCACCCATATCTCCTCCCCCTCCTCCGCCTCCCGCGCGTTCGTTAACCCCCTCCCCGCTCCCCCTCCTCCGCCCCTTCTCGTTTCTCCTTGTGCTCCTTCTCCCGCTCCCAACCCCCTTCCGGTTGCCCTGTCGTTCCTCCTTCGTCAACTCCTCCTCCCGCGGCTCCTCCGCCCCTTCGCATTTCCCCTCCTGCACCTCCTTCCACTCCTCCTTTTCCCGCTCCTTTTCCCATCCCTCCTCCCGGTCCTCCCACTGCTCCCGCTCGTCCTCCCGCTCGTCCTCCGCCAAACAACGTGACAAAGATCCCACCATAGCCATCTTCGATGACAAAAAACAAAAGAAAAATGGCCCGCCACCTGGCTAGCCGGGCGCGCGCACGTGAGCTGCCAGCTGATGTGTGTGTTTCGTCGTTCTCTCTCTCTCTCTCTCTCTCTCTCTCTCTCTCTCTCTCTCTCTCTCTCTCTCTCTCTCTCTCTCTCTCTCTCT